TGTGAAAAATAAAAAAAACCCCCCCCCCCCCCCCCCAAGGTGGCACAAAGAAAGCTGCTGCAGATGAACAAGTAAAACCGCCAAAGAAAAAGGTGAGAAAAGTAAATGAAGGGCTACAATCATTGCAACTTGAGTTTGTCATCTGATAAATGTCTCTGGACCTAGTTTTTGTCTCTAATTTATACAAGCTTTAGCTGTAACAAAGCGCTTTATAGTTGATGTACAAAAAACTAAGCTTGAGGAAAAACAAACATTTATTAAATTTTTCACATAAAAAATGTAACTTTAGAAACTGCAAATAAAGACTAAAATTACTCAATGTATCATTCTGCACTACATGCTTAAATAACCTTTCCCTTGCCTACTTATGGAGATGACAAAAAATGCCATGTTGGCAAGCTTCGATGCTAGTCATTTGACACCATTTTGGTGACATTCCACTAGAAAAAAATAAAGCAAGAGGTATTTTCTGGAAAATAGGTGTTGACGAAGTTTGTTTCTTATTTTTAAGGCTACAAAGGGTTCCATCAAGTCCAAGAAAGATGAAGAGGCTCCCCCCTCCAAGGTGCCACCAGCAAAGAAGCCCAAAGGTAAAAAAGCTGCAAATGAGAATGTTGAGGAAGCTCAAGGAACTGTGAGGACCAAAGCGAAGCCCAAGGAGGTCAAAGCTGTGGCTGATGGGAAAACGAAAGCAAAACCCAAGGAGGCAAAGGGTAAAGCTGACAAAGCTGCACCAAAAAGCGCCGCTAAACAAGGAAGAAAGAATGCGAAGTGAATGTTGTCTACAACGAAATTTTATTTGTCAATGGAAAAACATCTTAACTTTTGTAACATTCAACTATGCTGCGAATGCAAAATGTTATTTAATTTGTCAATAAATATCTTAACTTTTCTAGCTCCTATTAATTTTGGGCCTGGGTCGAGTGTCTTCATTTTAATTGAAGTATTGGGACAGGAGGGCTCGTAGACCCTTTTGGAAGGGAAAAAGGAAGTCTGCTCCTGTCACCTCGGGGGGGAGAGAATCTAAAAAACCCTGGAGACCTCCTTGGGCTTTGGTTTTGGTATCTCCAAGTCAATTGATAAGGATGCTGTACAGTATGTAGCACAGGTGTCAAAGTTGAGGTCCGGGGGCCAGATCTGGCCCACCACATTTTATGTGGCCTGCGCAAGCAATTCAAGCATGTCAACTCCCATAATGCTTGCTAAAGTCTGAACCAATTTTTCATATATAATGTAATTAGAACGTTTAAACAATCCAGTATTCTGTATGTCAAAACTGGTCATCCAAATATTTGTTGCTTACTGTGTATGTTAAATGTGGAGGTGGCTCAACATTTATATGGTTTCACACAATTCATAGTCATAACGCCCCTCCATGGGAAACTACAATGTGACCCATGACAAAAATGTGTTTGATACCCCTGCTCTATAATCTCAAGTAAAATTAAGTGATTTAAAAAAAAAACGATTTACATTTTCCAGGGATTACTTCTTTGCCCCATTCTTGAATGTGACTAGTGACCCACTGTGAATTTGACTCACTTTGGGCAGGTTATGAATTTGAACTTGTGTTGGGTTGCTCCAAGTCTACAATTGCAGCAGGAAAAGCTTGTTTTCAGTACTTGGGGTTGTGTTGCACATCTAGTCCACTGTGAAAAGAGACTTCAGTTACACCTTTTAAAAGAGGGACTTTATTGGTCTTAAAAAAAAAAAAAAGTCTGGACTATTTCATTGTCACTAATGGAAACAGTACGGAAGCACTCTTTTGAGCATTTCGAGTGCTCTTCAAGTATGTTGAGTTCATAAATCATCTTCAGCAGTTAAACGTCCACTTAATGCACAGGTCATACGAAGCCACGATTATCATTTTGAGCCAGTGTATGGTGCTGCTGTGCAAACACTCGGATCTTTCGTGGGGAGTTGGTCAGAAAAGCTCATTTGAACCAAGTCAAAAGGAAACAGCAGGTGGTTGGGGGAGAGGGTTAAAAATTTAAAATGTGGCAGCCACAGATGAGTTAAAAAATATACCTTCAATGACATCAAGGAGTCATGTTAAAAGCAATAAAAAGGTCAAAGGTCTTGTGTGGGATGACGATGTAAAGTGGTCCACATGTAAACAAAGTGACTCGGGAGAGAGAAAAGTGTGCGGTTCTCTCAAATCCACAATTGCACCAAAGACTGTGAGCCGAGCGTCCGTCTCGGGTGAGGAAACGACGAGCGTCAAGTAACGCCCGCGGTTCCAAAAGCTCCGCCTCGCCGTGCGCCGTCGCGTCATCTGGGGTGCAGCAGGAAGCGATGCAGATACTCTGAGAAAGCGTGCCAGTGCCTCCAGAGGAAGGCCACCAGGACGAGGAGCAGCAGCGTGGAGAGCGTGCGGCTGCGCGTCTTCATCAGCGGCACCACGCAGTTGGCCACCGTGGACACGAAGACCAGCAGCACGGCCATGACGGCCAGCAACACGTTGATGAGCTTGCCCAGGAGCGTCCGCGCCGTGGCGTTCTCCAGACCCTCCAGCTGAACCACCTGCTGCTGCTGCTGCTGCAGCTGAAGCTCCATCTTGGAGATGCGCGTCTGGCAGGCCTCCAGCGCCTCCTGCGGGTCACACAGACACGGACGAAAGGGTCAACGGCCTCGAGTGCGGCAACCCCCCCCCCCCCAAAATTTGGGTTTATGGGCGCTAGACAGATTATTTTAGTTTGTCTATTAGTATCGTTATTATTTTAATGGTGGGCCGTACGATTGTTTTTTTCTGATGTGAAATATGTGCTCAAAAGGTTGGGAAACGCTGATACCGCAGATCAAGAAGTGGTGTGACTTTTCTGGTTAGTGTGACTTCATTGATGCATCACGCTTTTCCGGTCGATGAGCTCTCAGTCTGGGCGTCACCGCTCCCTCTTTTGTGTTAAGTTGGCTGACACAAGAAGAGTACTACGCACACGCCGGGTGACGCACCGTGTGTGTGTTTAACAAGGGTGGGGCCAGTATCGCTTACCTGGATGTCTCTGGCTCGTTCGTTTGACTGGTAGGCAATCTTCTCCTCCATGCTGGCCAGCTCCTGTTTCAAGTTGAGAATTTCATTCTGGTGCAGCTCGGTGAGATCGTTGAGCTGCTCCTCCAAGCGCTCGCACCTGCGGGGAAGCACGGACACCAGTGATTCCCAAACGTAGACGCGACGTGTAGTTTATAAGCACGCTGCGATGGAAATCCGTTCCATGCGCCAGTATGCTCTTCGCCCCCCCATTAAAAGAATTTTCAGCACACCAGTAGAGCGACCGAATCTTAGTAATGTATTTCCCACGATTGTATGACCTTTTTGCGCACTCGTAGTACAACTACATGTTACTCGTGAGGCAAAACTAACTTTTGGGCAACTAATACCACTTTACCTGGGTACCAAGAATAGCCAACAAATGCTCAAACTGCTTTATTGAAAGCGGTTTGTGCATTTATGGACTTATAGTCAATTTAGTAGTACAATTTTTTATCCTCGCAAATATGCCAATTTTGAAAACTGCTTTATCCTCGTCCTTACCTGAACCGCTCCTCTTGTAGGGCCTCCATGACCATCGTGTAGTCGCGTTGATAATGCGACTTTAAATTGTCAAAGGACTCTTCGAGTCGACCTTGGTTGTCCCGCAGCTCTTGGATCTCGTGAAGCATAGCGTCGAACCCCGATGCCTGAGAAGGGTCGAGCGTGTTCCCCCTGGAGCTGGGGGGGCCCCCGGGGCCTCCGGTCGTGCTGTTGGCCCCCGCGGAGCCCGACGTGGCACTGGAACAGTCGTCCTCGCTGCCGAACTTCGGACTGGACTGCAGGTGCCCCGCGGCGAGGGTCCTCATGGCCCCGGGGCCCACTCCCTCCTCGCCCGGCGTCTCGTCCAGAGAATCTTTGAGCGCGGCGATGTTGTCGGCGCTCCCGAACTTGTTGCGGATGAGAAAAGCAAATTCTCTTGGCTTGGACACGACAGCTCCGGCTGCCGAGTGAGTGGCTTGTGAAATGCTGGAGAGGCCGCCCGTCACCTGTGGTGGGTCACAGTTAGGCATGTCACTAAATTTACGTAGGGACATGCGATGTTTGACTTTCAACGAACGAGAGTGAAGCAAGCGCGCGCGCGCACACACCTTGGCGCCGACATCTTTCAGGCCCTGGTGCATGTCTCGCAAGACGTCTTTGGGCTGACGCGGGATGCCGTTGTGCTCCACCTCGCGAAGCTTGCGGTGGTAGTTCTCCAGCTTCTTCTGCAGGTGTTGGATGGTCTGAGAGGACTTCTGGTTCTTCTTCTCAAACACCTGCTTGATCCGCACGCTCTGCAGCTTGTCCGCATTGTTGGCCAGTTTCAGGTACTCGGCCACGTTGTCGTCTCGCGCCGTCTGTTCGATTTTGATTTGTTCGGTGAGTTTGAGGATCTTCTGCTGTAGTTGGGCGATGGCCTGCTTCGTGCGCTGAGGGTCCGGCGTGCTGTCGACCGCGTCGTACCCGTCGGCGCCGCAGGAGACGGCGTTGGGCGACGCGGCAGGAGCCGATCCGTCGTAGCGGTCCGGCTGTAGCGAGAGAGCGCAAACAGACGATCGTTTGCAACTTTGCACTGTTTAGAGTCTCCAATGAAGCGATCGCGGATGTTTTTGGAGCGCTCAGGAAAACATACTAACCCCCATGCTCAACCGCGTTTTATTGACAGAGACGGAGAAGGTACAGGAAGCCTGGACAACAATACATATTATGATTTGGAACAGTGAGCCTGATCTGGCTTTTTGTTTGGAGCGCGGGTGCGCAAGCACGATAGCGATAGCTCTGCCAGCTATGTCAATAGTATGACACAGTAGAAATACACCACTGAATAAAACAACAAAGCAGAGGAACGTGATCCAGTAGTGTGTCATATACTGAGAGGCTCGCCACTGGCATTTTTCAAAAGGGGGCTTTTTGTGTTTCGACTATTCCATTCATATGACTGCAAAGTGACAGAAATGTGCCCTGCTGCATCCCGCTGCTACTAATGTAGCCTTCCATTGTGCATGGTACCAAGAGATCATGAGTGTAAACTGGGCCACCCTGCAGTTACAGCCCAAAAAAAAAACAACAACAACATCAAGCAGATGCACACAATTTGCTTTCGCAAACCGGGCCACATAAAATGAGACTCTAACCTGGAGTTTCACACCTGTGCAGTAGACTGTTCCTTTGGTATGCTCTAGTTGAAATGTAAAATGATAATACATTTTAAAAATTGCATTTTGGGGCTGCAGCTATCAAAGATTTTACAAATAGTCTCTCCATCAGCCCATCGATTATTAATCGGATAAAAAAAATAGATATGTTGAAGACAATAATACATGACCTGGAATGTGTGAGGCTTTATCAGATGGGGCCTGTCCCGGTGAGTGACGTGGGAGTCAGCAAATTAAACTGTAGAGTTGGCTGTTAAATGCCTGGGCGATACTTGTAGTTGGAGCAGCTCAATTATGAATGGGCTTAATACTCGCTTCTTTTGATGGTTGCGTTTATCCTGAACTACTTGTGGTACAATAGGATTTAACTAGCGGCGGTCAGCAGTATTAAACTAGCTCATACCGTCCGTGAGCAAATGAGATGGCCGTGCAAAGCTTTGTAGCACAGATTTGTCTTCCTCTTGTTTTTGTAACTCAAATTCTTCAATGACTTTTTTTTGGTCCGAAACGTGATCGCGTGCAATACGAAACTGAACAAACATCCACCGCTTATTGCTTTCAGAGATATTCTGGCCACTGACCTTGTCGGGTTCCTCAGTAGAATGGTAGCCGGACGTGAGAAGCATGTCTGCCAGGGCGGGGCTGCTGGGCGTGTCCGTGGTGGAGGAGGAGCGAGGGCGCCCAGCCTGCAGCAGGGCCTCGTGGGTGCTGCGCCGGTGAATCTGGGGGCTCCCTTTCTGGGGGCCGTCCCCGGCGACCCCCGCCGCCTTGCTGCGGCGGCTCTGCAGGCTGGTGCCTCGCTTCATCATTGGCGGAGCACCGCGGATCTGCTGCAGCACGCGGCTCAGAGCTGCGGGAGGGGCGGAAGCGGCAGGTCCGTCAGAATCCAAGGAGAGAGCCGAGGGGGCTCGAGCGTCGCCGCCTTCCGAGACGACGTCGGTGGGCTCGGGAACGGTGGCGCCGGCGCAGGAAGCGGCGGTGTCATGCGGGGACACGGAGGAGCGTCTGCGCTGCGGCTGGAAGAGCTGCTTCAGGCCGTGACCCAACGCTCCCATGTTCTCCAGGGCGTTATGGGTGATTTTGGACAGACCATGTTCGGACTCTGACGCCCTCCGACCGCCCTCCGGCTCCGTCCGGCCTCCCGAGTCCGCTTCCTCTGGACACTGCTCACTACAACCCTGATCCATCAGAGGCCTCCAGTTCTACTCGGGGACGGGGCGGGGGGGCGCACGGGACGAGCTACACGGGGTGGAAACCCCCCACCCCTCCCCTGTGTGAGGCTGGTTGGACGGCACTCAGTTGAACTTTCTGAGTAGGCATGCATCTGTGGCTTGGCTCAATGTAATGCTTGTCTACCATAAACAAAAAAACAAAAATAATAGAAGAAAATGAATCAGAACGTGAGTGATTAACAGAACAAATACAAAGTGAGCAAAATAAACTACATTGGTGCAGAGGCATCCATTTTTTTTTTCAACCTGTGAAAAATCTAATGATTGCAAATCCTCAATGCAAGACAGCGTGCATGAGTTTTGTTTTGACAATTTCATGAGTCATAAAATATATGCGGCATGACTGGCAGCACCAACCTGCTGAAACCAACCAAAAAAAAAAAAAGTCTACTCAAAACAAAACATAAATATGTGTGTGCATATATGAGAACATTTTCTGAAATGTTAAAGTTTGTCAGCTGATGACAATTTTCAGTCTTAATCTGTTTCTACATTTCTGCCATCGAGGAAAGGTTGCATTTCAGAAAATATTCAAATGGCTCCCTGTGGATGGAGCAAACAGAGAGAAGATACAAGTGGCGCGATGATACAAATTAAAAGTGATGAGCTGATTCGGTATTCAGGACTCGGTGGCTGCCTCTTCCCCCTTTGACCACATTTTCTTTTCTAGGTCAAAACCTGCTTGTGAATTGCAGTAAAACAACCAATCCAACTTTTTTCACAAACAGTTGACAACAAACGGAATTTTTGAGACTCCCGCAATGAAAAGAGTACAAACGAGAAGGACATGTGATCGCTTACCATCGGCCCAACCTCTCCTCTTCGGACTCACAAAGCAGGACTGGCTGAAGAAAGAACAGGGAAATAAAAATCAACGAACGCCCTCCGGCCACAACGTAAGTCGAGATCATCTAATGAGCTAAGTGAGACGCATACGTGAATGTGCGTCTGTGTCATTTTACAAATGCCATGTCGTGACGCATGCCGTGTGCGTTGTAGTGGAGAAGTCTGCCAGACACATGGTGGCGTCTGTCACTGAAAAGGAAGCGTCTATTTAAGGTGTGGAAAACACACCCCTCAATTAAGCGAGTAATCAGAGTCTCTTCGAGCAGAGGGCATTCTTGGGGGGAAGTGGAGTATGATCCTCACATTGTTCAGGATAGCTGCCTACGAAAAGCATTCATAACTAAATGAAACTGATTCACGGCATTTATTTAGCTTGCCGTACCAGTCGGACCTCTCGTATGCCAGGACAACAAATAAGGGCAGGAAGGCAAGCAGAAGAAGAAGAAAAAAAAAAACGCTCTAAGGAAGTGTCAGTGTGCAACTAGTGACATCCTAATGACGGGGGGCGCTCGCCTGTCAAATAGCACTGCTGTAAGGCAAAAAAAAAAACGGGAAATGTGCACACTAGGCTTCATATGCAACATGTCAACGTCCTTTTTTGGTGTTCACCGCACGACTACTCGTCTTACTTGAGCTTCTTTTTGATGCAATAATAAACACGCGTAGCTCGTGCGTAGCGTGTCTGTTCATGTGGGCAAATGTCAGATTTGACCCTCTTTTCGCTCCGCATCCAGCAGAGGAACATTAAATTGGGAAAGATTAAAACAGCAGGTGTTCACGTTTATATGTTCCCATTTGGAGCGGCGTTTAGAAAATCTCGCTATTTCAGGGCGTGAATCTTCCACCCGCATGCGCAGCCCCGTTGGTGTGCAGCACATGTACGAGCCGCCACCTTTCAGGCAAAAAAACGATTCCATGGGTCAGTAGCATGAGCGAGTGCGGAAAAAAAACAATTGCATTAATTCTGATGGTGTTTTGTGGCTCTTTGAAACAACCGTTTCAAAAAGATAGATTGAACATCATGGATGACTTGACGTGACCGGCACACATCACAAGAGCTCGGTTCAGTGGGCATCAAAGGATTAACTCGCCGCATTTTGCTTTTTCATCTGCTCCGTTCCACACTTGGACACATAACTGGGATGTGGTTGTGTTCCAAAATAACCAATCGCATTCAAACTCGGGTTGAATGAACCCACTACCACTTACAGTGCCTCTGATGAACCCAAATCCATTTCAGATGTTCTAGTAGGATTTTGCTTTCTAGCAGAGGCCCGAAGGTTTTTTCCTCACACTTACTGCTATATTTGGAACTTTTGATAATTCCCTAAGAAAAACAGCCCCAAAGCCTAATTCCACGACCACCACACTTCACTGTAAGTATGGCGTTCTTTTGGTTGGTGATCAGCAGTGTTGCGTTTGTATCAAACATGTTTTGAAATTGTGGCAGAAAAGTTCAACCTTGGCTTCAATCGACCCAGAACTGCTCGCCAGCCCCATTGGAGGACACACATAGACAAACAACAATTCACACTTCCAGACAGTTTAGAGTCTTAAACTAATCCAAGAAGATCAATATTTCGACTGACTTAAATCGTAGCAGTCGTCCTATCACTGTGCCTGCTATGTCATATGTTTGTGCACACCTAAAATGTTACACTGGAAGCAAACATTCCTCAGACGCTGGGGAGCAAATATCCTCCAAGGGCAAACGAAATTACAGCACCGTTCATCTCTAAGCTCGGGGCAAAGTGATCTTGCTGAAATGGGTCAGCCAACACCCGCCTATCTCTCTTTGCACATTGTAGCACTCCAAGGTCACACCATCTGAGTGTCTTGCGTGTCGTGGAGCATTTAAGCTTTTACTTATGAGGCAGACCCATTAAGCAGGCGGGAAGCAATTTGTATTCTTGCATATTTGTGACAGAAATTTGCACAGCATTCTTCACCCTGAAATAGTCACATGTGTTTTGCGCTGGTGAAAAATATGTTTGGATGAATTATGAACCTTTTGAAAGTACAAAAAGGAATTAAAAAAAAAAAAGATTCCAGAAGCAATTAGTATTTAAATAGTCAGAAGCATTAACATACCTTCAGATGATGTCATCAGCAAATAATGTGTGCACCAACAGACAGGCAGGCTCCAAGGATTAAAATCCCAAGCAAAAGTCCAGCACCACCTCCGCTGTGTAAAGTCCTCCGAAACGAAAATCTGACACGGTGGCTCTTGGTTTTTAGTCAGCTGTCTTCATTAGCGTTTAGAAAAATCACATGCTGCAAGATTTTCAAAAGACAAGAAGCAAATTATTCTCTCATGTCAAAAAAATATTCATTAACATTTGTGAATAACAGTGCCTTTTGTGCTCAGAGTCATTTCCACGAACTGTAGGAAGCTAATGTAAAACAGGAAGGTTCTTGTCAAAGTTAAACTTTTGTACAAAGGTTGTTTATTTAAACCAGAACAGAAAGGTAAAGCAAACGTTTGATGTGTACTCGGCAGGTGGATGATGACAAGGACACATAAAGGACAACAGTCCATTACACGTGAGCAAGCATACAAAAAAATGCACGGTGGGTGACCTGCTCTGTTTTGACAAAATAGAAGGATGGTTTAATCTTATAGAGCACTGACACCCAAAGCCATTCACTAGTATTTACACACATGTTAATTAATGAAAGGATGGGTGACCCCTTTTGGGAGCACTGCAGGCTTGCCTAATATTAAATTACAGCAGTCCAAAGGAGAAGATGTTAATACAGCTCAATGACTAATGTAATTCTTTTTTTTTTTGGGTTTGTTTTTTTTTGGGAAATGTATTCTTATATGAAGACATGGGGGGGGGGGGGGGTCAGCAACCTTCTAAAAAGTGTCTAAAATGGGCAGATAATGTAAAGAGAAGCAAATATGCTGCCTTCCAGACAAACATGTCCAATACAAACAAACTGACTGTTTGACTACAAATAGCCTGAGCTCAACGGTTTAGAGTTAAGAAGAGGATGAAACAAGCAGCTTGCTAGCTAAAGCTCGTAGGCCTTCCCGGTATATGAAAGAAACACAAGCTATTTAATAAAAAACACCGACAAGTTAGTCAACGCAAGTGACTTTGTAGCTAACCGTCGTGGTAGTTGAACGTTGCGAACATTGCCCTGCCTGTCTTCGGCGGGTTCGTCTTGTCTTTAGACACTTTAGCAGGACAAGCTAACTTGCTGCGCCGGAGGGCGTTGATTTTACTGCACGGCGCACACCAGCGCATAAACGCGAGGGGCGAGGTTGGAGTGTTCCATTACTTCACGTGAAGACAGACACATTGGGGTCATTCGTCGTGTACTACTATCACGAGATCAACAAATGCAGCTTTAACATAATTTTATGTCCCTAAAACTAGCATTTTTCTCGTTAAATCATCACCTGGAGAAAATTCACACGAGGTAGTAATTGCTGTTGTGACATAATGTCAGTACAGACATTTAACTACAGTACTTTTACAAGAAATGAGTTTTCAGATCTGTATATCTGTAACTATATATGGAGGAGTTTTTGTAGTCCGCGCATGTTCCGCACACGAAGTGGCGAACGACTAGTTGAAGTAGTTAAATGTCAAACTTACCGGCGTGTTACATTTGTTTCATGTGTGAGCTCGTATTTCGGATATGCAGCAGACATTGGCCTTGAAAGTCAAGAGCCTCGGACATTGACTACTGTCAATTTACGCACGACGTTCACTAGTTACGTACATTTAAAAGACAATTCGGACCCATTTGGACCAAAAACTCAACAAACCTCGCCCCACCCCGACTAGCTGGGCCGATAAAACAGGCGCCCACTGAGCGCTTGGCTGGCTGGCCAATCAGCCTGTCACTTAGCATGCTGGTTAGCTCCGCGGCTAACTAGCTCCGGGAGAAGAGACGCGTCGACAACCACCCAAACAAGCCCAAGCGGCTTCGACTATAGCACAGAACGGACGCCAAGAAGCGGCAGCGGATTTCACATAGACAGTAATTCACAAAGTCGGCGGTTTTGACAGCGTCAACTTACATGGACGCTGAGAGGATTGTGTTGATGACCGTTCATCTCTCCCGATGGAGGAACACTCCCACGATGACGTCATATAGCGTGCTCGGCGTCAACACACAACAACGCCTGAACCACTCGAGTAAGCCAGTCAGTCTTGTATTAAGTACAGTAACTGAATTCGATACTTTGGTTGAAGTAATTAACTGAAAATAACTTCCGCGAAAGACACTTGAGGAAAAAAAATCGATATTTGTATTTGTTTTCATGGCGCTTTGGTTTTATCTCGGTAAATGTCTCCCCCAGCCATGCTTTAATTCTTATACTCAAAAAGTTACTGATTTTAAAGTCTAGGCTGTAATAGTAAGGACAAAGAGACATATACATTCATGTCATGACAGCCCATTACAAATAACATAACAAAATCTTAACTTATTTATGAACAACTTTAGTCAGGACAACACAAATTGGTTGTGCCGCACTGATATACACTTCTTGCATGGCAATAAAGACAAGTGTATATAAAGTTAAGACAAACAGCTTCTTAGCAACCATGCAAATTGCACAATTTATCTCCCCTGCGAGTGGGAGGTGACCAGGCGCGTGTACGTTCAGCCCCGCCTCTCGCCCAAAGTCAGCTGAGATGACTCCAAGGTCATGTGACACCCGAATGGACAAAGGCGCTCAAGAAAATGGATGACAGACTTGCACACTTCTTTTTAATATCTTATGGTGCATTTTATTGAAAGCTTTGAAATTCAGTAAAAAAAAAAAAAAAAAACCCGCACGCACACGCGCGCACACACACACGCACACACACACACACACACACACACACACACACACACACACACAAACACACACACACACACATTTACATGAAATAATTAAATACATTACATTTAAAGACTCAGAAGTTGTCCGTCGTCTTTCCATCAACGTGTCAGTGTGTGAAATCATCTCATGACGATTTACACAAAACATTTTATTCAGAGCATCACATTCAATATTATTTATTATGAATTTGAAGTACTGTATTACGGTAACTACAAATACTGCAAACTCAAATGTCTGTCATGATATATTGACAGTACTATCTTTTGTATACAAATAGAAATAATTGAAATACAAATTGTAATCATTTGTAACTTTTGAATTGTCTTTTCAGTGTATTGGGGGGGGGGCTGTTGTGTTTCTTTTGTAGATTTTCTAACACCAATACAGGCTGACATGTTTGTGAAATTTGAAAAAAAAAATATCTGACTCTAGTGGCTCTGTACTTGACCCCTACTTCATATAATTCACTCGTGTCCTTTATTTTCCGGCACAATAGGAGAAGTGAACACAATTATCACATTGTTCAGATCAGCAAAACTAGGAATGGACAATAAATCCAAAGGAATACAAATCCATAACATTTAGAAATCCCCCGAGTGTGCAAAATGTACCAGGAAATGGATCATTTACAAACGTGTTAAAGGTCCGTGACATCTTCATCAGACCAATCATTCTGATACAAGGGCGATGAAAACTTTGATCGAACTTCTTCTTCCTGAAGTCCTTTTGGTGACTCCCCACTATAACAATGACCAGTGGCTGCACTGTTTGACTCTATTGGCTCTGTGGCTTGGAAGTGGTCCAGAGATGCAGGGATGGACTCCGTATCCATCATCCAGCCGTAGTCAACATAAGCTGGGGGGAATGTCGCCATGCCATTCTCTCCATCAGAATGTGTCCAAGAGGGAGGAGGAGGTGTGAACAGGCTTCCGGCCAAAAGCTGTCCGTGATGAAGAGCGCTGTCGGCACCGCATCTCAGGGTAATGGGAGATGGGGGCCTCGTGTCAAATTCTATAAGCGAGAGAATACATTCTCGCTCACCAACTCTTTGCCACATGAGTGTAGCCTGCGAGTCATAGTTGTTATTGCCAGAAGGCTCCCGCTTGTATTCTGATACGATGACAGATGGTTGATCATCATATGGACACATCATGCTATTGCTGAAATTTGCCGGCGAGAAGTTATGCTTTGCCAGGTTGTTTGGCAGCAGCCTTCTCCATTTCTTCTCAGTGCTTTTGAGTTGCCTTTTTCGGAAACTGGCCAAAACCTTGTCCCACAAGCTCGTTGTCTTGCTCCCTCTTTTAGACACTTGATGCCTGCTGCACCTCCTGGTGGGCATCCAGAAGATCCAGGATCCCAAGACGAGCAACGAGGAACCCCAGGCTAACTCCAGGATCCTGGCCCAAAACTGGCTGAGCCACCAGCACCAACCGAAACGCCTCCAGTTGCCCATCAGGCCGTAGAGCCAGAGAAGACTACAAATCTGAAGGTTGCAGCACATGATGCCAAGGCAGGCACACACGGCCATTACTCGCTTGGCACACCTCTCGATCCTTTGTAAAGGAAGCCCAGGAGGAAGTGATGACCTGAGGAACGTATTTGAATGGCAGAGGGACTTCATGAGTATTTCTAGGCAAAACGGAAGACCCCAACAGAGTGACAGAGTCTGCAGCAAAAGAGGGAAGAGTGGAAAGAAAGCGGAGAAATATAAGTCTGCGCCCAGCAAGACTGTGCAGTGTGATACAAGCAGCCCCACAACAACTTGAGGCTGCTGTAACATGACTGGGAAAAGGAACAATTTGAACCTCCTGGGCGTGATAAGTGTGAGGGTGACCTGAGCCCACAGCAACAGCTGCATGGGAATGTTCTGCAGTGCTGCCAGCGTAGTGTGAGACACGATCTGACGAGTACCATAAGGATCCAGCAGCAAGTGAACGGCCCGCAGAGCGCCACTCACGATCAGGGCGCTGTTAGCCAGCAGCAGCGTACCACAGTGGGGGTAAGGGAGAGTGGAGGCACCGGCCATTCCTAAAACGGCCACGGACGCCATCAGAATGAAGAGGCTGGCCGAGCCGAAGACGTGGATTTCCCAGGCGAACGCCAGCGTGCGCCTCATGTCGTCCCACAGCAGGTTGGTGCCGTTGTAATTGGTGAGAACGACACAAGGACTTGGAATGCAGGGTCGTCCAGATCCTGACAAATTGGTCACCGAGGAAAAACCACGGGTTTCGACAGAGTGGTCTGCACCTGTCGGAGGGGGAGGATAAGTCTTATTTTTTCTTCATCTTTTATTTTTTTTTTGTCAATACTATTGAACTAATCGCAGATGAATCATGTCTTGAAGCAATTGAAGCAAAGGTAGTTGGGTGTTGTCAAGCTTAACATGTCCATTCTGACAGAGTGAAATATCAAGAATATGACTTGATTTATAAACCTTTCAGTTGATTTATAAACCTTTCAGAAATGTATTTGTTAAACAGTACACACCGCAGCTGGCTACCTGAATCACGTTATCGAGTGAAGGTCCTTTCAGTGCAAACATTAGCTCAAAAAAGGTCCACCCTGTCATTGTTCACCCTGGCAACAAGCTCACATATTTCTTTGCGTGAACATTGCAGTTAGTTTATCTATTCAAAAGGTGTGAGCTTGATCAACGAGGATTCCTACCAGCATTGAAACAATGAATATGAAATTCAATGGAAAATCTTAACCTTTTGTAGCAGAAATATTGAGTTCTCAAAGACACCTTGTGGAGATATTGACTCAATTATCACTTACCTGTCTGAGGACGATTATCAACTCCTGCGCGTCTGCCTTCCGAAAGAGTGTCCTGCGATTTTACACTGGATTGAGTGACCATTGTCACCGAAGAATTTCTATTGGCTATTCCAGGCAGTGAGTGAGGAAGCGTTACGGTCGAGGCACCGGTTGATGCCGACTCGTTTTGCTTTCTTGTTTCCTCTGTAATAGGAAGGACTGCGCTATCCACTCTATTTCCACTGCCTAGCACGCTGTTGTTCCCTCTGACTTCACTCACAGGATGGATGATGGTCTCTGTGCTTTGAGTCCTTCCAAGTGAATCGCCGTGAGAATCTGAAAAGCTTCCAAATGAAGGCTGACACAATGCCAGAGTAATGACAAGCAAAGAGGAGCACTCCATTCTTTCCCAGTTGAATCCCAAACCTGTCAAATAAAGCGGGATGAAAAAAAACCTTTGAGTAACGCATATTCATTAAACACTGCTGTTATCGAATACATCCGTTATGAAGATGCTAATTGTAATATTTGAACGGTTTATTATTCTGACATTTGAAACCACATCAACAGGTGGTTAAGCGGACAAAAAATAAATATCCACAAACCAGATCTTCAGTACTGTTCAGTGCACCAGACCCATTCTGTAATCCACTTGCTTTAAACGCTCTACAACATCTGTCTGTGTTTGTGCAGAAATTCAACACCGCACATTCAAATCATAACATTTGTTTGTGGCCTGCTAGTGTGCAACAGATGCTTTAGTTATTGCGACACAATTTGTTGTTGTTGTTTTTTTTGAAGATGCAGATATTCAATGTCCCGTGGAATATTAAACCAATTAACGCTGTATCGCACGTACCAGATCCTATTTTAGAATCAGAGTTCACCATTTTTCACACTCTCAAGCAGATAAAATAACATTAAAGTTGTACTTGCAAGCATGACGACACTAAAATGTCTGAATCTACCTGACACACACGACTACAAAAACCTACTGACAGTTTTCAATTATTATCAGGATACCTGTGAATCTTTGTATCTTCTTTTAATGCATCAAGTATAGCTGGTCCAGTGGTGCCTGATAAAGGTCATCACAGTGAGCTTGCAACACTGTGGACCATCACATCATGCCTTCAAGCTGGCGTCCTGTTCTTATCACTGCACCGGCTGCTTACTTGGCGGTGTCCCATAATGGGTCAGTTGCAAAGAAAACCCAACAACAAGCACAAAACTGACGTGGCGTAAATGCATAGATGCATTCTCAAAGCGCCATATATACAGATGTAGATCAAATAATAACAATAAATAAAATACAAGTTTAGAAGATAATCAAATATTGAAAGTAGTCTCCTGGCCCCACCTGCCACTGTCTACAACAGTTATGGTCAGGTAAATCCTTCCCAAATGGATTAGATTAAGATTCTTACGGAAGCACAGAGTCACATGAAGTAAAGTGCACAGCTAACTACCCACAAATACACTGGGAGAAATGCATTAACCCTAAAATGGCAATTTACTTTACTTTAGCGTTGTTATGATGTTAGGTTGTACACACAATACGACACTAGAGTAGAACTATGGAACAACAATACATAAAACGATTGATGGCTAATTGTTTTCCAGAAAAATATAATACTCCTCTAATAAACAGATAATCATACACATAGTCCGTGGAGATCCAGAGTCAGAGCATCGCAAACACTTGCAGAAAAGCTGTCAGAAAAGCACTAGGATAAGAATTAACTATTTGCTGCCCAGGCTCAACGCACGGGGTCTATTCTTAGGCCACATCTAAACGGGTCCACCTTAAGAGGACCGGAGAGGCCGCATGAAGAGGAGCGAGCAAGGGGACGCCCTCCACCGCGCACGCCGGGCTCTTTAAGGGGGACTGGCTAAGTTAGAAGCTGTTAAAGGGACATGCCTTCCAGTTCGTCCAGCAACGCTAAACTGTCATGAATGAATTTTAGTATACAGCATCCATCCATCCATCCATCCATTTTCCGATTCGCTTATCCTCACAAGAGTCGCGGGGGGTGCTGGAGCCTATCCCAGCCGTCTTCGGGCAGTAGGCGGGGGACACCCTGAACTGGTTGTCAGCCAATCGCAGGGCACACAGAGGCGAACAACCACCCACGCTCACACTCGCACCTCGGGACAATTTAGAGTGTTCAATCAGCCTGCATGTTTTTGGAATGTGGGAGAAAACTGGAGTACCCAGAGAAAACCCACGCAGGCCAGGGGAGAGCATGCAAACTCCACACAGGGAGGCCGGAGCTGGAATTAAACCCGGTACCTCTGCACTGTGAGGTCGACACGCTATCACTGGATCACCGGCCGCCTTAGTATACAGCATCATTCAACAAATGGTGCACTTGAACGTTTTTGCATTTTACAGTTAAAGTATATATTTCTGATACATCATATTTTACTATGATGTATTACTATACTACTTATATTACTATACTATATATAAGGTACTATTAATATTTCCCAAAACACTGGTTGTACCGTAAAGAGTGAGGTTTATTGTTCTTGATAGTCTTGATTTATTTGGACATTCACAATTTAAGCAGATCCAATATAAGAGCTGTAGGAATAATTCAGTCTTTACAAACAAAATATTGCCAAGTTATGAGGTACTGATAGCTGTTTCAAAAAAAGGTCTTCTAACAAATATTCCAAATAGTTGTCTGTATGATGCTGTGCAGTTTTCCAAGTGCCGCATTACAATTAATGTATCGTGTTGCTTCTCGGGAATACTGTATAAAAATAAATGGCATAAAAATGTACTTCACCCAATGAGAAACTTAGCATATAAAAGTCGATATGCTGAAATCAGAAATGCTTGTAATATATTAAATTATTACTGAAATGCGTGATTTAGTTATAAGGATTCTGCAGTTCGTTGCCTGGCACAGTTGGAACACAATCTCCTGTTTTTCACATCAGGGCCTATTCTTCCGTCATTTTAAAATCACACTGGACAAACAACAAAGAACACAGTTTTCGTGTTTTTCACAATCCTCATGCATGTGGATGACTAAGGTTCGCTTCTTTGCTGGTTGCTGGTTTGCTGGTCCACGTTTGTCGATGTCGAAAGCCGCCTGGATTTCTGCGTGCAAAAAAGAAGACGCAGACGTCAGACCTCGCCTCCGTGCTTGCCTGCTCACCACCGCCGCCGTGAAATTGTTGTTGCAAACTAATTGTACAATTGTTGGCGGAATTGCGCCGTCTGCCGCTGCATGGACTGTCCGACCGGCATGCTGATGGTAGCTGCTAGACGATTATCGGATTTTTAGTTTTTTAAACACCGTGCCTTGGCGGAAAGGAGACGATTTCGTTTTATTTAAGGTAGCATGACAGGATCCGAACGTTAGCAGTAGCTAGCGTCATGTTGTCTGATGTAAAATTGGTGACTCGTTGCGTTCCAGATTGACGAACTGTGTACTTTAGGCTATACATTTCTGCCTCAACGTGACCACGTTAAGTGATATTAAACATAATTATCTTCCGAGGTGACCATATGGGCCAATGATATTTAGTTCGGCTAGCTGTACTGTGCTATGCTAGCTTGCTAACAGTTAGCTTAGCTTATGTACATGAGCTCAAGCCTGGGTATTATTTTTACACTTAATAGTCAATGTTTTTAAAAAAAGATACCCAAGAACTCTTGTTAAAAATTGGTGAAGTATAGCAATTATTGAAAGACGACGACGACGGCGCCTGTTCATCATGTATGTTGCCATTCGAATATCGAATTATCTTGCAGTTTGTTTCAGTATGCGTAAAATTAATGTCAGTGATTAATGATTTACATAATGCAGTATGATCAGATAGATCATTGAAAACGATTCCAGCGATATAAGTAACATCTTTCTGTGACAAATAAAGTTTTGACCTTTTAAAAGCGCACCAATATTTGGCCAACGTCTTAATACAGTACAAAGACAATAGTCGTCGAGATTTTCGATGTGACCTACTTTTGAAGCCGAGTTTCAAACTTGAATGGGTTTCATAAATCATTGCCCATTTCGGAAAGGCCGGTCTCATTGAAAAGCTTGCTAAATCGAGAAATGGACAAATAACAATGAATTAAAGTTATAGAAAGCCAGGGGTCCAGGTTTACTTAAGATAGACAAAATAGTCAAGATCAAAACAGTGATGTAGATGACAGTCAAGTGATGTGTGGTTTAATTTTGAACTCTAAAACATGCAGAAGAAAAACGAGTCAAGAATGAACAGTATGAAGCTAAGAAGATCCCCTCTTGATTTTTTTCCAGGTCCAGTGAAAATGAACGAACAGGAGGCTGGTGTGGTCTCGTTTGATGAATACGTGCGCCAAAAGGCCCGAACTGTACCCCAGCACAGGATGAAGGAGTTCTTGGAGTCCCTCTCCAAGGGGGAGTTCAGTCAGGGAGGGGCGACCACCACCACGACCACCACCACAGCAGCCATGGTTTACCAGGAGCAGACCAACAACTGCGTCTACACTGATAGCACAGAGGTGGCCGGCTCTCTGTTGGAGCTGGCCTGTCCGGTAACTTCCTTTATTGACTTATCATTCGTTAAATTGAGTCCGATGCATCCTAACCACTTTTTCCGCTGCTCATGACAGGTACAGCTTACCTCAGCGGAGATTTCACCCCAGCTTTCCATGCATTCAGAACCAGAGCAGCAGCAGCTTCAAGTGCAGGTCTGTTTGTACACTTGTTTCGTTATTATTTATTGTCCATTACCAAAAGAGTGAATTTACCAGGTCAAAGTATTTGTCACGCTGGAATCAGTTTGAAAAGTGCATAGCTGCTTACAATAATAGAATATCCAAAGTAAAAATGAACATAAATGATCCCTAAACACATTGCAGACATCTTTTTCCAGTAATTTGTTTAGTGTGTATTTCTGTGAGCTAATTAACAAAATAGCCTTCTCTTTAATAATGTGACCTATCTGATCATTTTTTTCCCCAAACAAGTTTTTTAGGTGTTTTGTGTTCCATTATTTTTCTTCATTCCTAGCAGCGTCATTTGTGGTAGTCTGGCTTTTTGATGTTTTAATTTCTTCCACTGTGCCAGGTCCAGATCCAGGAGCAGCCAGTTCTGCAGATGGCCACGTCCGCTCAACAAGACATGCAAGGAATGTCAACTTCTCAACTCGTGCCGCAGGAAGAGCTCACAGAGGAGCAGCAGCAGCAGGTACCATATCAAAAGAAAATGCGGTGAAATCTTGAAGAGATTAAACGAGTAATTGGTTTCAGGTTTGAAAAAGAAATCCCATCGAACATAATATAAATCCTAATTATAAAACCTCTATTTGTGGTACAGCCAAAATTCAAATCCATATTTGATCATTTTTCAAATGAATATTAAATATAGCTTACTTTGTACAGTCCATTTAGTTCTTCTCATATCATTGATAGTCCGGCCACAACAAAGACGATACTCCGCTTTCCTT